CATGGTCCGTATTCGATGCGTCCTGCACGAACGCATGGAGCTTCGGGCATTTAGCTGGCACTTGCCATAGGATGACCCGCCAACGTATGCCAGACTGAAGGGCTGCAGCATACGATGGGCACAAAGACAACAGTTTGTCCCGACATGTCCTTCCTTCTGCGTTGGCAATGTCGCTCAGCCACGTGGTAATCGCAACGCACCCATGGCTGATAGCCCACAGGCTAGCGTTCTCATGAGAGCCTCCGACCGAAATGTACTTCAAGTCTTCTGCCACGTGCTTGGCCAACATATCCCCATAAGCATTGTACAACGCCGTCTGGAACTCGACCGCCTCGTCCCACTCCTTTTTGGATGGGCGAATATCGAAAGCCGTGGCCCCGCTCGCCGCGTCACGCGAGAAGCCATCCACTATTATTTTTGATATCAGGCTCTGGACGTCCAAGGGGTCTAGGCCCATTGCCCATCGATTCTCCATGTGGATCCCGACCGTGTCGGGTTTCAACTCATCCATCCGAAAAAAAAGCGTGATCAACTCGCTTCTGCTTCTTATCTGGATTCGATTTCATCATCTGGTCGACTATGGCATTTATCTTCGGGACAAGCTTCTCGATCCTAGTATCAACGGACTCGTCCATACCTGCTGGTTGCAGTGTGACAAAAAAGTGTTCGGTAGAGCCAACAGCAAAATTGAGTCCAAACGGCTGCGTCGCGAAATGGCGATGCGTGGGATGGTGGTGGACTGTTTTGTTGACTCCCAGGGGGATGATATTGTTGTGGAGACATCGTAAAACAACAGAATTGCGAGCCACTGATGTTCGAGTTGGCAACACCCGTAAACAAAAACGTTGATGCATAGCCTGATTACGTTTAGCTACTATCCCGCTATCCTAGCTATCGTATCCTAATTAGCTGGGGGGGCGTAAGCAGAACTGACCGAAGTACGTTCCGAGGATCACCCAAGTAGGTTGCGGAACGCGCTTTTCAAGATTTGCTGATCCGTATCACCCCTATTTTGTCGCCTCTCGATATAATATATTTGTATGGCTTACATGTGTCTTCATCATGTTGTAAGCAACTATAGCATCGGATATATGTATATGTTAACACATACAGGGTCGATGCGGGCATTCTACATAGGAAGCGCACCGCCGATTCAAGAAGAGCTACGAGAAGCCTCCGCCTCGATTCCTTCGAGGCGCCCGATGTCTGGGCCTCTGCCTGCCCATTTCGTGGACTGGGGGGGGGGAGGAGGGCTTCGACCGGCCTCGGCCCCTCCTTTTCCTGATGGACTGGGGGGGGGTTCGAACCGGTATAGTGACCCCCCCCCCGGTTTTCCGGAGGGGGGAGGGGGTCGAACCGGCAGTGACCTGACCCCCCTCCCCGGTGTTCCGCCAGCGGCGGTAAAAATTTTTTTTGATTCGCGGGTCGAGAGCGCACCTCTTCCGGTCGAAGCTAAGCGGGCCGCGCACAGCTTGAATTAACAGAGGGGGAGGCAGAAGGAGGGGCCTCACGTCCAGGCCAGGAGGGGGCAAAGCGATCGGCGGTAGAGCACGCTCTCTCCGATGTCTGGGCCTCTGCCTGCCCGCCCCGTGCGCGCCCCGCCGGGCGCGCCCCTGGCCAGGAGGCCGGGAGGACGTGCGCGCGCCGCTCTCTGGGGTGGCCGCCCGGGGGGGCCCGGCCGCGGGCGGCCGGCCGGGTCGGCCGCGCTGTAGGCGCAGAGCAGGGCGCGCGGCAGGCACGTGCTCGGAGGGAAGTCGGGCCTGTCCCCTTTTCGGGCAGATCTTCGACGAGAGAAAAAACGAAGGAGTCAAAAGAAGTAGTCAAAATAAGAAGAGAAACTAAAGAGTCAAAAATAAGACGAAATATAAGAAATAGCCAGAAATACCCCAAAATGGCAGCAACGAATAACATCCCCGGGCTGGGTTTTGATCATTTTCGAAGATTCCTCCTGCAGAGGGACGGGCCCGACTTAAGATTAGAGACCCTCGGGGTCTCCGCGCGGGCCTCTGAACGTGCCCGCCCGTGCCGTTCTGCTGTTCTTCGGCGGCCATGCAGTGGAGGCCAGTCCACGAGAAGCCTCCCACGAGAAACCCGACCCTGAGACCCCAGGGCGTCCATGGATTTTTTGGTGTGGGAACGTCGCGCTCTCCACAGCAAAACCGTCGAAACCCAAGAAGCCCAAGGCACACTGGAGGCAAGCGGGGTGTTTCTTGGCGTGCGCTTCCACTGTAGAGGCCTCCTGGATAGGATCTGAGCAGATGGGGCCGGAGGATCGCGCCGCATCGCCAACGCATCGGCGACTCATCGTCAATGCATCGCCGGCGTTGGCGACGCATGGGCGACCGACGCATCGGTGACGTCGGCGCGGAGAAGATCGGACTCCGCATCGAGCCGCATCGTGGATGCGTCGGCGATGCGGCGCACTCCAACGACTAATCATATACTCCGACCCTAGCTGGGAGGACTAGAAGGCCAGCACGCGCGGGTGGCTGGCGTCCACCTGTCGGGGCGCGCACGGCGGCTGGTGGTCGAACTCGACTTCGAACGGAGAGTAGCCCAGGAGACAGCAGTACCTAACCAGCCTCGAACGTATCCCTATCCCTCAGGTGGGCGAGCAAAAGGCGGGGATAATCTTGGGGATGTGCCCTCAGAAACGGAGGGAGTCCTCAAGATCGGCATCGAGGTGAGGCGATGCCAAACACGGAGATAGGGATGCGCTTCCAACTGGGAAGTACCAGGTGCAGCCGAGGGCCCACACGTCCGCCGACGCGTAGGACAGCGCCCCGATGCCAGACGGCACGTCGAACAGCTCGGGCGCGCAGTACTGCATGGTGCAGTTCGTGGCCGCGCGCTCCGCCTCCAGGAGCGCATCCTGGCGCCCCCGGATGGGCACCTCCGTGCTCCCGCACGAGCCGAAGTCCATGAGGACGGGCACGCCGAAGGGGCACGAAGGCGTAGACTCCAGCCTGAGCAAGACGTTCTCTGGCTTCACGTCGCGGTGGGCGATGCCCTGCAGGTGCATCTCGTGGAGGCCGCTGCAGACGCCCGCCAGCAGAGCAGCCACCCGCGCGGGCGTCCACTCCTCTTGGGCGGTGGCACCGCCACGCTTCGCTTGACTCTGGCAAGGGCATGCCCGTCCGAATGGAGGGCCCGGCCAGTCTTGCACTGTCCCTGGGTGCGTGGCTGAGGTTAGGACGGGCATGTCCTCCTACAGGCTGACTTTAGAAGGGCAGTGAAAAACAATGCAAAATAGTCAAGAGTGTACGGAAAATCGTCACCAGACATTTCCTCACTATTCTTGAATATTACTCCTGGAGAGGGGCATGCCCGACTTCAGGCTGAGGCTGGGCTCCGCCTTGCGACGTCCTGCTCTTGTCACTGTCGTCGGCATCTCCCGCGGAGGAACCGCCCGCAAGGCCGCTGCGTGACCCATCCCGTAGCCACCCCGCCCCATGCCACGCCCCGCGGCGCCCCTCGCGATGCGCCCCGCCACCCACGCCACGACCCGCTCCGTGGCCGCGACACCCTCCACGACACCCAGCGCGGCGCCCCACGACCCGCACCGCGAACCCGCCCGGCGACCCGCCCCGCGACCCGCCCGGCGGCCCGCCCTGCGACGTGCCCCGCGACCCGCCCAGCGAGCGCCGCCCACGGCCCGCCCTGCGGCCCGCCCTGCGACGCCGCCCGGCGGGCGCCGCCCGCGACCCTCGGCGCAAGGCGCCCCCGCGACCCGCCCGCGCGGCGCTCCGCGCCCCGGGCACGCCACCCACCAGCGGGGCGCCCCGCGCCCCCGCCCCGCCTGAGGACCCACGCGCACTGCCTCACACCCTCGCCCTTCCGCCTCCGCCTCCTCCTCCTCTGCCTCCGCCTCCGCCTCCCTCCTCCTCCTCGCTCCTCGCTCCTCCTCCTCTCCTCCTCCTCCTCCTCCCTCCTCCTCCCTCCTCTCCTCCTCCTCCTCCTCCTCCTCCTCCTCCTCCTCCTCCTCCTCCTCCTCACGCCTTTGAACAGACATCGGCGCCAGCGTCGGCTGTCTTGCTCATTTCAGCGCCGCCGAAGCGGGCACATGCGAGCGGCAGGCTGCACGCGAGACCCTGGCGGCGCAAGAAGAAGGAGCAAACAACAGATGGCACAGACAGAGCTGACAGCGGGGCACATCGGTGGATCCTCTGCGGACTGGCAACCTACATGTGACGCCTCTTCCGGGTTGCAAAGGAAGTGCACAGAGAAAACAATCGGCACATGACAGCGCCTCACTCCTGACCGCGCCAGCGGGGGGTCCTGGACTGAGCAATGGGATTATGAATCCGAATGATCTCCAGGTGCGTTTTCATGCCACTCTGGTCAGTTCCAATACCCTCTTGGCGCATTTTGATGCCATCCCGACTGGGACGATAGTGGGAAGGGTCCAAGACAAAATCTGCAGTGGCCCGGCATTGCATGAAGAGTGGCCACATGGAAGTATTACGAATAGGCCTGGGGTAGATTAAGCACGGCGCTGTGCCAGGTCAGAGACGGAGGGGCAAAGCCTGAGATGGGAACCATCCCAATGGGACTCCTCGCTCGGCTGGTCCCGCAGCACACGGCGAGTGATCTCGCTGCGCAGTGAGCCGCGGCAGAGGGGAAACAGGAGCCAGCACACGTCCACGTGGCGGCTCGACGGGTGCGGCTGGAAGGCCCTGTCCACCAGCTCCAGCAGGTTCTCGTGGCGGAACCTGGCGTGCACCTCCGCCTCCGCGCTCGCCGCGGCCCTGCCGCCCGAGTCCTGGCAGAGCATCTTCTTGAGGGCGTACTGCTGGCCCGTCCCCGGGTCCTCGGCCCGGTGCACGAAGGAGAAGCCGCCCTCCGCGAGCAGCTGGCCGGCGACCACGCGGCGCCCCGAGGGGAAGCTGACGACCTCGCCGCCGTAGCAGCCCAGGAGCCTCCGCAGCGCCTGGCCCATCCCCCGGGGCCTCCGCGGGGGCGGGCTCGGAGCCTCGCCGCCTCGAGCCGAGGATGGCAGCTGGACGACAGCGGACGGGTGCGGGCGCCTGGACGAGGACGGGGCCAGGCAGCTCGCCGCGACCTGCTGTCTTCGGCTCGCCCCATGCCCTGCCCCAGACCTCCGTCGCGATCGGTCTGTTTCGGTCTCCGTCGCGAGTCTGCCACGACGTGTGCCCTGGATCTCTCGCCAGCCCAGGGGGTCTGGTTTCCACCGCGGGCCGCTCCTGAACGGTCCCCACGACCAGGAAGCTGCTCCTGCACGCCACTGTCCTATGAATCTTCCCCAAGGGCTTGCACTCAAGGTTAGGTCGGGCATGTCCCCCTACAGGCGGATGTGGGGCAAAAGTTTGAACACAGTCACAAAAAAACTCAAACATAGTCAAACATTCTCGAAGCATCGTCCCCTGACCAGTTTCCTGTGTTTGAAGGTTCCTCCTGTAGGGGGACAGGCCCGACTCAAAACTTGGGGGCTCGGCTGCCCCGATACGCAACACGCAACACGTAGCGTATTGATACGGAGCTCAACACGCAGACTGAGCACGTACGCTTTGAGCACGGACGTTTTCGAGCACGGCACGTGCTGCGTTCCAAAACGTGCGTATCAAAGCAGCTGAGATCGGTGGGCGCGTCGATGATTCGCCCCGTGGCCGCCCCTGCCCGCTCGTGGACCGCTCGTGGTCGGCCGACTCGCCCCCTGGCCGCCCGTGCTCGCACGGGCCAGAAAACACACGGCACCGCCCCACCTGCGGCCCCACGGGTTAAAGGTCGCTGGGGATGCAGCGTTGTTTCCAGGGCCAGATCCCCGTACGCTCGGCGGGCGCGCTTGATCGGTCAACAGCAATCCTTCCAGCCGCCCTTCGCGAGAAGCTCTGATTTCAGGTTTGCTCTTGCCGACGATTGGGCTGGTCATGCTTGCTCTTGCCCTACGAAAGCATTGCCCTCTCCCCCGTCGCCCCAGAAACACAGATAGCGTTCGCTGCCCCTCAGCGAACGTCAAGCCACGGGCCGTGGCGTATCCCAGGACATCTGGCGTGGGCTTTTGCATGGTACATGCTACGGCCCCCGCGGGGCCCCTGCGCAACATGGAGGGCCGTACGTGGGGTGTTGTCGTTTGTTTTTTGGCCGATCGTAGTCGCCAAATCGTCGCCGCCCGTGATCGGTAGACGGTGACGGCATTGGATAGAAGGAAACCTTCGATCAGGAATCAAGGGTCTCGAAGCCCGTGGAAAGCCAGTCGCGGGTTGGCCGTGGATGCAGCCGCCACCCTCATCAGATAAGGAACCCCCCAGGGTTTGAGGCCTTCTGGGCACGCTCCCTAACGAACGCCCCCACCAGATGTCGAGGATGCGACCCGTGGCCGCCCAGAACCGGCAGACCGCGGGCAGCGCACCGGGGCGCAGCGACGCCGCAGCCGAGCGAGCCGAAGCAGGCAAGGGCAGCCGACTGTGACACGGCCGATCGAACCGAGTCGCGAACACTCTCGAGGACTGAAGGGGCCCTGGGACACACAAATAAATACACACACAAAAAAAGATTCCCCATATTTTGTTCCATATTTTTACGGTTTCGTCTCCCCTCCCACTTCCCATATTTTCCCCTATTTTCTGGGGGATCGACGATTAATTGTGTCTGTGTGTTTTTCTCCCTCCTGGAGGACCCAGGACATTCGACGTTACATGTCTTCGTGGGTTGGAACTCTGGATGCCTTGGGGACCGACCCTTCACCCCTAGCCGCTTCTTGGGCGACCCCGGCGCACGAAACGAGCCCCAGGAGCCCGACAGCACGAAACAGCCGGCCGTGTCGACATGAGTGACCCTGGAAGCCTTCGAGGAGGGGATCGACCGACACACCCCCGAATTGACATGCTCTGGGATCTACAAGCCTCCGACGCACTTGTTGGGGAAACCCGACAAGCAGGTCGAGTGCGGGGCAGATCAATTCTGCGGCCGATCTCCTGCTCGATGCCTGGGGACGAGGAGATTTTTGAGCAGGGACCGGCCGCCCCGGCCTTCCTGCAGGCCTACCACGACATGTTCTTAGAACCATAAAATGTTCCAAGAAAAAACACTGTCCTCAGAGCATAAACCCGATGTGTTGACACGAGACAGCCTCCGACAGAAATGTTCTCAGAACATGTCGTGTAGACCACAAAAAATTCTTAGAGCACTCTTGAGCGGGCCTGTAGGCGAGCCAGCACGCTTCGCTGCTTGAGACATGGGGGGCGGCCGAGGCCCGGCGGCACGCCCAGGGGGCAGGGCAGAGGGGGCGGGCCGCCGCTGAAGGCTTCGAGGGCCTCCCGCCGTCGGCGAAGCTCTCCAAAAGCCTCCTGCGAGAAGGCCTCGCCTTAGGTCCGCGGGCGCCACGTGGCCCGAGACAGTCAGCCGCGCACATTCGCCTCCCTCCTCCTCCTCCTCCTCCCTCCTCCTCCTCCTCCTCCTCCTCCTCCTCCTCCTCCTCCTCCTCCTCCTCCTCCTCCTCCTCCTCCTCTTCCTCCCCCTCCCCCTCCCCCTCCCGGCCCGGCTACAAGCGGTGGGGCGCACCGAAAGCGAATGGAGCCACGAAGGGGCGAAAAGGGAGAGAGCGCGGGGGGGGAACGAGGCTCCACGAGGACACCAACGGCCTCTCGGAGGGCAGGAGAGCCTCTCAGAAGCCCCGCCGCCTCCTGAACAGGCATGCTCCCTCTCGCTTCCCCCTCGGCGCGACGTCGAGAGGCAGAGGCGGGGGTGGAGGATGATCTCCTGGGCGGCCCCTCGACCTTCACGTCCAACTCGAGGCCGCCGCATCGAGGGCCGAGGAGCGCGGCACCTCGCACCAGGCAGCATGCGGCCGCCACCGGGATCGCCGCAAGCTCCTCCTCCTCCTCCTCCTCCTCGTCCTCTTCCTCGTCCTCCTCCTCCTCCTCCTCCTCCTCCTCCTCCTCCTCCTCCTCCTCCCCCTCCTCCATCTGCTCGTCGTCGTCATCCCACATGCCTCCCTTGTCGTCGTCCCTCCCTCCACCCTCCTCCTTCTCGTCGCTCCTCCTCCTCCTCCTCCTCCTCCTCATCATCATCATCATCATCATCATCATCATCAGCAGCAGCAGCATCATCATCATCATCAGCATCAGCATCATCATCATCATCATCAGCAGCAGCATCATCATCATCAGCAGCAGCATCAGCATCATCATCATCATGTTCATCATCATCATCATCAGCAGCAGCAGCAGCAGCAGCATCACCATCAGCATCACCATCATCACCATCATCACCATCATCATCAGAATCATCATCATCAGTATCATCATCATCAGTATCATCATCAGCATCATCATCATTATCATCAGCATCATCATCACCATCATCAGCAGCATCATTATCATCATCTTCTCTGCCTCTTCCTTCTATCCCCCCCTCCCCCTACTTCTGGTCCTCCCCCCCTCTTACAAGAAATTTCAACAGGAATCAGGGTGAACCCTTCGCGTCATCTCGTCCTGGCGATCCTGATCCAGAAAAACTACCGATTCGACAACGATACCGCCAATGACGCCCCACCATCTCTCAACCAGAATTCCGCCGCTGAAGCGTACGTTGCCGATGGGGCAATTCTAAGATTGGAGCATGAGCATGACGCGCATAGTTGACGGTTGGCTCGTCCTGCAGCAGAGACCTGCAGTACCTCTCAATCCTAGCACTGTTCGTGTCACTGGCAAAATTTGCAAACTGCATACTCACCCCAAGACTAAGACATGGGGCATGTGCAGATCATACAAGAGTAAGACTAGAAGTTGATGGGCCGAAATGCTCGACGATACTTTTAGGTGATGGTAATGCCGACGGCGACGCATTTGGCAATGGCGAGCAGAGTGTGGTCGCAGAGCGCGTGTACTTTGCACCTACGCAATGCGGCCGCTCGTTTCTGCAGTCGCACCTAGCGGCAACCTCACCGCCAGTGTCTGCGGTGAGACAACCTACCTACCTGACAGCATCATGTCGTCGGCGCTCTGGTGAGACGGTGGAGTGGGGTGTTGAGACAGAGAGGAGTATGGATCAATCCTCGGCCCCTTCCTCATGATCGACCTCCTTCCCTCTCCTCCCTCCTCCCTCCTCTCTTCTCCTACCCGAAGGAGCCACACGCCGGACCCCCTGGGACAGAACCTGCGCCGCCCCGGCCCCCGCCGACGCCTTCTGACGGAGACCGCGCCCGACGTCAAGGAAACGCTACGTGACCTCCGCAGTGAGCGGACAAATCGGATCGGACGAAAAGGGGGTGGGGGGCCGGCCAAGGGGAGGTTAGCGAATCAGCTCAGGCAGCTGGTTTCCCTGGCGCCCCCCGGGCGCCAGGAGGCGCCACCATATCGAGGGAAGCCGCCCCGCGGCTGGGCCGAGAGCAGATGCATGGAGGCCACCCCGCTTGAGGCTGGAGCATATAGGGAGTCGCGCCGAATCGCCGATGCACCTGATCGCAGCAGATCCGACTCGGGATCGAGCCGCATCGCCGACGCGTCGGCTCTCAGCATGCACGAAACGGGCCCTGGCGGATAGGGGTCCTGGAAGTCCTTTTTGTGCTTTAGGGACCCCCCCTCCCCACGATTGTGCGCTGCATGCGTGGGCCTGGCCCAGACACTTCGGCAGGCTCGGTGCCTCCTGGCTCGGGTGCGGAGACGTCCTCCGGGGTCCTCGAAATTCTTCGCCATTCTCGGACCGCTGGGGCCCTCCACGGGCCCCAGGCCCATCAAGAAACGCTCGGGATGGAGAAGTCCGGGGATCTTCTGGCCCGGGTCAATCAAGACCCGAAAACTGGACCTGAGGAGGACCCCCGGGGTCTAAGACCCACCCACGTGGACGACGCCGACACCGCGGCGAACCCGCGGCAAGCCCACGGCAAGCCCTGCGCCTGAGGCGGCGTTGGCCCTGGTGGCCGCGGCGCCATCCCCAAGACGGAAGGCCGCGCGTCGGAAGAGACAGCGAGGCCACACACTCCTTCATGGAAAGAAGCGTTGATCCTATTTGTGGGCGGCGACGGCTATGCGGCGCGACCTCGATCGATCTTCTGGCCTCGTCCGCTCTGGCCCCTTTTTTCCTGGGGGGCCTCGTCCGCTCTGGGGGCCGGCCCTCGCAGAGGGCCCCATCGCGGAGGCACCCCGCTGGGTCCGCAGCGGCTCTTGCCCAGCGGCCGCGCGCCCAGGGGGCGGAGGCTGCACCCGTCTGGCGCCCTCTCTCCGGTGAGTGGCCCGCCCCGAAGAAGGCGATGCCGATGCGCGAGCATCTCCAGACGAAGACAGAGAAGAAGAAGAAGAAGACAAGTAAGAAGAAGAAGAAGAAGAGGACAGAGAAGAAGAAGAAGACAGAAGAAGAAGACGAAGAAGAAGAAGAGACTGCATGAACATAACCTTTCGGATGTCCGCGCGGACTTCTTGGATCGGAGCTGGGCCCCCCTTCGCGGTGCCTCCCGCGCCGCCCGTGGCGCGCTCCGCGCGCCACGGACGGGGGTCCAGTGCCCATCCAAAAAATCAGCGCGACCTCCAGAAATTCATGTTTAAGCCGTGATTCCTCCTCGAATCTCGCCGAGCGCTGGACTGACAAAAGATGCTGCCTGGGAAAATCAAAACGGGCGGAAAAGGCTGGGAGGGATTCGCCCAGGGCTGTGGGCCTGGTGGCCACGATGAGGCTCCTGGGCGCGCCCCCGCACCTGCGCCCGTGAATTATTCGGTCTCTCCCTTTTCTATATTATCTTGCTTTCCATCTCTCTCTCTCTCTTTATGTCTCTCTCTCTCTCTCTTTCTCTCTCTCTCTTTTCTTTCTTTCTTTCTCTCTCTCTCTCTCTCTCTATCTCTCACTCCCTCTTTCTCTTTCGCTCGCGCTCGCTCTCTCGAACTGTCTCTCTCACACCCTCTCTCCCTCTCTCAGTCTCGCTCTCTCTCTCTCTCTCGTTCTACCCCTCAATCTCTATCCCTCACTCTTTCTCTCTCTCTCTCTCTCTCTCTCTCTTTCTCTCTTTCTCTTAACATGTCTCTCTGCATCTTGATCTACTCATCTAGAATTATGTGTGTCTCTGTCTATCTTTTTTGTTTCTCTCTCTCTCTCTCTCTCTCTCTGTATCTCTCTTTCCACATATAGAAATGCCAAAATGACCCAAGCAGTGATTGCTCTTAAGGGGTTCTTCTTTTTGCCCCTAAGAATTGTATGGGCAGCCCCCAAGAGGTTCCCGGAAAGTCCAAAAAGATCCTGGAATGTAATGTTATGTTTCGTGTTCCTCATGCTCCTCCTCGTCCTCCTCGTCCTCCTTTGCCTCCTTTTTCCTCTACCTCTCCCAAATGTTTCCCCAATGGGTTCCGCAAAGGCTGGGGGAACACGTCGTCCAATAGCTTGGCCACACGTCGGCCCAACGTTTTGCCGCATGGCGTCTCCAAAATGCAGGGGGAGACGGTGATTCGCTGTAGGCGTCTTCGGTATACCTTCATGTGTGTACATATGTGTGTACGCGTGCACGCATTACCCTCTTTATCTTGCTGTATGTCCTCCGGGTCTCTCGTTTTCTAGCTCTCTCTCTCTCTCTCTTTCTCTCGTTATCCCTGTGTCTCTCTCTTTCTCCTTCTGTGTCTGAACATATACACATATACATACATACATACATACATACATACATACATACATACATACATACATACATACATACATACATACATACATACATACATACATACATACATACATACATACATACATACACATACATACATACATACATACATACATACATACACATACATACATACATACATACATACACATACATGCATCATACATACATACATACATACATACATACATACATACATACACACACATACATACATACATACATACATACATACATACATACATACATACAAACAAACATACATACATACATACATACACACATACATGCATACATGCATACATGCATACATGCATACATGCATACATGCATACATGCATGCATGCATACACTTACATATATGTACCCCGGGCGCTCTCTTAACAGACCAGATCGATGCTTTATCGTGAAGCGAACGCGAACGCACCACATCCGGGCCGCCACTGAGCGAGAAATAATCTGCAGTTGAGACGCGGGCAGGAACCATCGGCAACGCATACGGGGCAACATGCACCCGATCCCGCACAGGCTACATGCACGGACTCGGCCGCCCTACAGGCCCACGACTCGACTACGCAGCTAATGCACCTGCAAATTCTCTGTGCCCATAACCAAACCCTTGGCAGCAGCGGCGGCGAAGTGGACTGGATTGCGCACGCTTTCTTATTCGGCATTTCGACATTGGGCGGAAAGGGGGGGAGGGAGGGTCTGGCTCTGGCCCGTGCGTCCTTTGGGGGGGATTCCACCCGCGTGAAACAGGCGCCACAAAAACAGCCGAGATCTACCCCAGGGGAGGGGGGAGGGCGGCCGCGCCGATCGGCAAAAAAATGAAGCAGAAAAGGATCGCACAGGGCGTGGCGATGCTTGCCCAACTGCGCCCTCCAGGCGCGTTGGAAGAGAGCTCGGTGCGTCGCTGCTTCATCATGCTACAAATGCCCTTCTTGCCGGAGGAATCGCATGCAAGCGGCGGCAGGGGTGCCGCCCTGCCAAGGAACTACGCGAGCAGGCCGTTTCCACGGGGCGCGGCGCTGGCAGAAGTCAGAGCAGGCATCGCAAAAGACTGTAGACGGCCTTCCAGTTGCGGAGCCCACCACATCGCAAACGCACGCAGGTTTTCGAGGAAGCAGGGGACGGCAGGGGCAATGCACAGCCTGACGAGCTGGACGCTGAACAGAAAGGCGGCCATTCCCTAGTCTATTCTGAGACGCCCGAGCGCTGAGTCGCTCGGGCCCACCACGCAAGAAGGGAGGCCACTGCTACGAAGGGGTCTGAACAAGGCACGCGCCAACGACGTGCAGGGCGTCCACAACCAGATCCTTGCAACACAACCACCTGTAACCCCTTCCAAGAAAACTTGTTCAAACGTCGGATCGAAGTGGTCTTCTCGAGAATGGCTTTGCAAATCGAGAGAGATAGAACGATCATTGGCCCAGTTTTCGGACCTCGCCGGCAATTCTGCCGCGGCCGCCAGAGTGCTCGCGGAACACGGGATGTCTCAGGGACTTCGAGCGAAGCGCTACACTGGCGCGGAACGCGCGTTGCAAATGCCGACGCGCCTTATGCTCTACAAGCGCACCCGGAGCAAGCGCGGCACAGCGCCCCCTGGGCCCAGGGCCTGCCCGGGGCCGCGGCCAGGCACGGGGAAGGCCGCGCGCAGGACCGCGGGCTCGCGAAGCCCTCGTCGGACAGGGCGTTGCACATGTTAGCTTCGACCGAACTGCCCAGCGCGAACGCGTCTTCGGGAACCTTAGCCATCTCCAGGAGCAGCCGCGAGGTCTTGCCGTAGCGCTTGAGGCTCGCGATGGTGGACAACCTGCCTCGCGCCTTCACCTCCATTCGGGCCCTGCTCGAAGTGGCCGGGCCGTCGCTCGCCCCGCGGCGAAGGCGGCGGGAGGCCGAGGGCCCGCGCCAGGAACGATCGCTGCCTCTGCAGCTCCGCGGCGGCGAAGCCCCGCGGGCTGCCGCCCTCGCGCGACTGGGCCCCCAGCCCCTCGAGGCGGCGGGCCGCGGCGGCCCGGCGACGCCGCGGCGTCGAGCGCCCCCGCCCCCCCCCCAGGTCGCCGAGCGCCGCGCCGCGGAAATGCAAGCCCAACCAGCTGCGCCGGCGGCCCGCTGCGACACTCGGGGCGACTTGGCACCTCCGGCGCAGCCGGGGCGTTTCGCGCGGCCGCGCGGGCATGCGAGGAAAGCGATTGCCCCGCGCGTCCGGCGCCCCGATGTTCTCGGGGCACGGGCCCCCGACCTCCCGGCCACTTCCCCGAGACCCGCTTCTCATCCCGAGTCGTTCGTTGGACGGCCCCGAGGCCCGGCGGGGGCCCCGAAGAAGCCAAAAGCTCAAGAAAAACTCCTCCTCGATCTTTCCGAGGCGCCCAATGTCTGGGGCCATCCACGGGCGCGCGCGCGGGCAGCCCAGATGCCGCCGGCCGCCCGGCGGCGCCGACCCGGCCGCCCTCGGGGGCGGCAGCCGCACGGGAGGGGGCCCTGCCATCGGGGCAAGGTCGCGGGCGGCAGCGATGGTCGTCTCGACGCCAATCTCGCCCCGGGCGCCCATCTGGCGCGCGGGAACTCGCGCGCCACGCCAGCTCTCGCAGACTGGAAAGAAGCTGAGTTCTCCAAAGAATGCGCCGCCATGAACGAGCGCCGAAAGGCGCGCGAGGAGAGAGAGCGCTCACGCGACCTAAGAAAGGCGCCAATGGCGAGAAGGAGCAGGAGCGAATATGCCTCGGCCAGCCCCGTCTGCCGCTGGCCAGCCTGCACGAGCTCAAATTCGCCGTTCAACGGCGGGCCCCTAATGTCCGGGAAGGCGCAGAAACATGCGTCCGTTGCCTCTGCCCGGCTGTCGCAATCACCCCGGAGTCGAGGGCCCCCCCTCTCCCGCGGCGCAGCGCGCAGGCTTGCTCAAAGCTCGCGCGCGCCAACTTGGGCCGCGGGGCGCGCGTCCAGCCTTGACCACCTCCTCGCTTTCAGCGCCCGCTCGTCGGGGGCGTGAATCGCCGATCAGGGGGCGGCCCTTCGGAATCTCGAAGCGGCCTGCCTCGGCGCCCCCCTGCCTCCGACGCGCCCTTTGCCGAGCCAGGCCTCCGCAATCCTCTGCGCAACGGCCGCGCGTCAAGAGCGCGGCCTCTTGGCCCGCGCGCGGCAACTCGCCCGCCGGCATGTCGGACTGTCTCGCGCAGACCAGCTCGGAGTGGCTCGGTCTCTGGCGCGATCGCGCGCTAGGATTGCCCGCCGCAGCAGAGCCCTATTGCGCGCGGCACTCTGCCCCGATGGCCCCGCTGCCGACTCGATTCTGGAATGCAGCCCCCTTGCTTTCGGCGGCTTCGCCTCGGAGATGACGCGGCGAGGGGCGGCGGGGCGGCGCGGGGCCGCTGGTCGGGACGCCGCTGCAAGGCATTTGTCGTCGCCAGGAAATCTGGCGGCATCAGACTAATTTTTTGGTGCCAGAGCAGCGAATGCCAACGTCGCCGGGCCACCCCGCGCGCGCGCCCCCACGCCGAGCGCCTTACCCGGGTTCGAGAAAGTGGGGCGGCACACTTATTGCGCCGCCGGCGATATCGAACGTACTTCGCACGGGTTTGCCATCCGTGAGAGCCTCGAAGATATTCAGGCCCCCCGCTATAGATGCCGGGCATCTTGGCGTCGTCGGCATCGACGCGCGCGCGCGTTCCCTGCGGGCTGGTCTCGGGCCCCCCACATGCGCCAAAGCGTCCATCAACGTTCCTTGCGTCTCGAGGGGTTCGACCCGTCTAGCACTGTCGAGGACGGTTTGCCCGCCGTTTCGCTTGCCCAGCGCTCGGGCGCAGCCAGCGCTGGATATGCGGACGTGTCAGGGTGCTGGGCTCCGACTGAAAAGCAATGCAATCTGGCTTAGACTGCGCGCGAAGGCGACGCATGTCTCTTGGGGTCTAGCTTCAGCGAGGTGCCCGAGTTGCCATCGAGCCTTCCAAAGCGGCGTCTCCATCAGGTTCGGGATCGAAGCGTTGCTCGGACGAGGGGCGCGAAGTGGTTTGGCTCTCCTGTTTGCGATGGGGCACGCGACCTGGGCCGCGCTTCTGCGCCGCGAAGTGCCCTCGCTTCTCCAGGCCCCCGCCCCCCGCGTGCCC